GCAAGATGCAGAGATGGCATGGCACGTACAAGAGGCCACCAGTAGACTTTCCCTTGAAAGAGGCGGTAGTGACCAGGATAGTAACATTAAAAAGATGGGACAAGTTACATTACAAGAGCCCTTGGTCCTAACTAAACACGCTAGTGCCATCTAGAGGTCAACGTGCAAACTGTACACCTGGAGTGGTACTGTGTACACCTAGAGTGACCACTTTATACCTCCCCCTCTCCTTAGACATTAAAACATGGCTCCCAAGTCCATCATCCTCCAATCAGAGTCAAAGCCTAGAAGGCAGAACTACTCACTTCTACCAGATGGTTGTCGGGCCCATACAGGTCTTTGTCCAGTTCAATCACCAAGGACTTAAAAAAGGAAGAGAACTTCCTCTTTTGTTTAGTGGCATCATATTTGGACAAGGCTGACTAGAGGAGAGAAAAGAAAAATCATGTTACGAAAGGCCAGAAGAAACTTCTCAAGACAAAATTCTATGAAAAAGGAACCCCAACACAATGAGAAAAAACTCAAAAAATATTTTCTGAATATCTCTTAGGAGAGATAGGCAAAGTAGGTAGCTGCAGGTATTAAACCAGTCATGGTAACAACAGAACCCTGAAGAAGCAGCCTAGAACACATACAGGGTCAGTTTTACCCACCTCATTTGCCCAAGGGAAATGAGGCAAGTTAAGCAAACCATTGCATATAACTAAGCGAGTTTGAGCAAAGAAAAGTCTGACTCTGGAGGGGAAATGAATCACAGGCAATAAGCAGCCAGAACAAAAACAGCTTTATTTGGACAGAATGACACCACCAGCAGATGGACCGGACCTATATAGAGAAGGAGGCTCTGACACTGAGCCCTGGTTCTCCTGCAAAAGTGCATTCCAATTAGCTTCCTGCAAGCAGCTAAAAATAGAACAAGAGAATGTAAGGGAATGAGAGAAAGGTGAGCTTCCCCGAGGAGCTTCTGGGTTGGGAAGTTTGGGGGCTATCACCTGTCAGCTGATGCTCCCCAGGAAGCAACAAAGAGCCTGTCAAGAGAAATCTATCCTACTTAAACTATGGGGTGCCTCCAATGAAAGTTGAGAAGATGGAGATACCACAAGAACTCAGAGAGGAAACATGGCCTCAAATTAAGTGCAAACTCGACTAAAAACAAAACAAAACAAAAACTAAATAATCTACAGATACGGCTAAATCCAATGGCCAGCAGCACCAAGAGGAAGGTAAATCACAAATCAGATCCCAGGACAATAAGGTTCTCCATATGATACCAGTGAGGGCCAAAGGTGTGGGGGCAAACACAAAGGACCATTGTCTTTCAGTGCAGGGAACACTGTCCCTCTCCCTACTGCTCCCAAAAGGAGCTGTGAGCACCAGTTAGGCTTCCTGCTGACCAGACAACACTGTTCATTCCCAGCAGCTCCCACCCTAGACGCCAACCACTGTGGACCTTGAACTCACATCCTCCAGGAGCCGTCCTTCTACCCGAAGCTCCCAGGAAGCCACCGTCCCTTCCCCATCCTCGGCATCTGACTTAGCCGGATTGAAAGTGTTAGAAATGAAAATTCGCAGCTTCCGTTTTTGCTGAGGAAGGCAGAAACAGGATTGATCGTGGGGCTTCAGTGGTCTAATGTTGAAGACAAGAGTCTCCCCAAACCCCAAAATTATTCCTAACAGACTGGCTTACTGTCTACCCAGTCCCTTGGGTGGGTGGATGAAGATTCCATTTAGAAGAGGAGTACTGGCCATCAGCCTAAGTACAAGTGCATACAGTGGGATGCCAGGTGGACAAAGTCATGCAAGGTGCCAGGTTCCCAAGGTAGCAGAGCAGTTACAGCAAAAACATGGACAAGGGTATATTTGTAGTGCAAGAGACATCAAGAGCCCCTCCCCCTTTGCCATTCTGTTCTTATCCTCCTAATGTAATTCTCAGTTTGTAGGCGGAAGGGAGAGATGCAATTTAAATGCCAAGGAGAGTTGTGCTGTGCCTTTGATTTCTCATCTTAAGCCTGCTGAAGGTTCCTGGGTCCTCTCTTTTGGCTCTCTGCTTAGTAACTTCCTGTGTTACCTTGATGGGACGTTTCAAGGCCTCTTGGATATCTAGTCGTTTCCTCATGATAGTCTGGTCCAGTTTCCTTTCAAAAGCCAAGAGATCCATATAGGCCTGGGATTCTGGTACCAGTTCACGAATCTTAGGAACAGAAAAATTAATTGAAATCTAGGATGATTCATCTCTGTACTCAAACTCACCACACTTTCCAGAAAACAGATAGCCTGGACTCACCCTTTGAGGTAGAATTTTGTCAGCCATCTTCTTTTTCTTTGCACTGTTGGGAATAAACACTATTATCAGGTTGGGACAGAACTAGTCAGAACGTGAAAATAAGCTGTCAGCATGTCCATTTATAGTAATGTGAAGGGATTGCAAAGCTTCTCTCAAATCAAATAACTACCACCACCACCACCACCACCAAGCATTCTCAATCATCCTGTAGCACCATCTGCTGACACAGCACCACCACTTCTTGGTTCAGGTAATCCCACCACCTGTGTACTCCCAGGCTCCCTGCCCCCTCCCTGTGCCCCAGGATCATCTTACTTGTGGTTTCGATTTTGGACAGCCTGCTGCTGGACCTGCTGGATCTGCTGAGGGGCAGGTCTCTTGCGGGACTGATCCATCCCTGACTGGGCCAGGCCAGGTCGGACTGAAGGGTTCCCCCCATAGCCAGGGGGTCCCATGGAAGGTCCCTGAGGTGTCATTCGGCTGCCTGGCAACATACCTGGTCTCTACAGAGGGGAGAGGACCCAGAGATGTCATGGTTTCACCTGCTAAACCCCACCAAGAAAGAAAAGCAGGGAACGCCTGAGTTCTTTGAATGAAGTAAGGTTTACGGATGGAATGGAGGACAATGAGACGAGAACCCTCTGCTCCAGCAGTGACTCCACAGAAAAATAAGAGTCCAAAAGCTAAGCGAGAGCCAGATTATACTCAAATTATCGGTCTATTTTGGATCGGACACATCGGACATCGCCAGTTCCACATTTACTCTGCTAGCTACTATCTCTTTAGAAGCTGACCTCAATTTGTCAACTACACGTTCTGTGTTCCTTTGATCACTGGAGCTGCTCAAGCCCCTCTGCACTCCGGCCCTCGTATAGGTATCCCTGGACCCACTTCACCCACCCTGGTTCTCTACCGACTCCCCACGGAAACAATGCCCCTAGGAGCAGGTGTGGACGCCAACTGCCTCCCCCTCTCTTCCTGCGCACTGCCTCCCCCAACCCCCACCCAGAGCCCGAACCCCTCCCAAGGGAGTCCCTCCTACTTCTCCCCCCACCCCTGTCACTCCCACGTCCCCGCTCGGCCCCGCCCCCGGCCCGCGCGTCCCTCCTCCTGCCCCACTCACCGGATAGGCCGCTCCGGGCATCGGGGAGCGGTACAGCCCTTGACCCGGAGCCGGGCCCATTCGCACGGGAGGCCCCGGAGTTCCGCCCGGGCCCAGGGCAGCAGCCGCGCCCGCCCCTCCCGAGGCTCCGGCGCCGCCGCTCGGAGCCACAGACTGGAAACCCGCCCGGGCCGCCATCTTCCCGGAGCCGCCGATGCAGCTGCACAAAGAACCGGAACCGGAACTCCCCCCGCCCCCCGAGCGCCCCCCGAGCGCCCGCCTGTTCCCCCGGCCGGCTGGCCGGCACGGGAGGCTCAGGGCAGCGAGACTGTCGCCTAGAGAGGAGCGACTAGCGGAAAAGGCGTGCTGGCCACGCCCTCCCGCCTTCACGGTCCTGGAGGGAAAACCATAGAGAAGAACTCTGGGATAGAGAGGCCCCGTGAGCGGGCGCCCCCAGGCCGACGGGAGGTAGACAAGGACCTGGAAAGGGGGATGGACCACAGCCTCAGCCCCAGTCTCAACGCCGACTCCAGCCCGCTGATGAAGAGGTGCTTGGAGTAATAGCTTCATCTTGGCGCATGGCATTAACTTCCCAAAACGCTTTGATTGCTTTTCGTTTCATTTTCTTACTGCTATAACTATCAGGGGCTGAGGAGGGAAACACAGTTTATTCCATTTTCCAAATGGGAAAGCTGAACTCACAGGTGAACGACTTGGCAAAGGTCAACCAGCAAGTTAGTCATAAAGCCGAAGCCAAGATTCCAGGTCTTCTTGCTCATAGCCCAGGACTCATTCCACAGATAAAGTGCCTCAATAACTACCTCACGTGGGAACTTCAACCTAACTTTGTCTCCGACCTAACCTGCTTCCGGATTATTATTTTTTTTTTTTCGAGATGAGGTCTGTCTTTGTCACAGTGGCACCATCTCAGCTCACTGCAACCTCCGCCTCCCAAGCTCAAGTGATCCTCCCACCTCAGCCTCCCGAGTAGCTGGGATCACAGGAATGCACCACCATGCCAGGCTGTTTTGTATTTTTGGTAGAGATGGGGTTTCACCATGTTGCCCATGTTGGTTTCAAACTCCTAAGCTCAAGTGGTCTGCGCGCCTCAGCCTCCCAAAATGCTGGGATTACAGGTGTGAGCCATTGTGCCTGGCCTCAGATTTTTTTTTAATATTAAAAAATAGGGATGGGGGTTTCATTATGTTGCGTAGGCTGGTCTCGAACTCCTGGCCTCAAGTGATCCGCCCATCTCAGCCTCCCAAAGTGTTGGGATTACAGGCGTGAGCTACCGTGCCAGCCTGCTTCCAGATTTTATAATAAGTTCCAGTTTATCTTGAATTTTGACTCTGCTCTCTCTCTAAAGCATTGTTTGTGATGGGGATTCTGTTTTGGACCTTTGTTGCCTTTGACTCCTCCCTCTTTCCCTGCCCAGTGGTTCAAACTATTCCTGATACCATGGTCAGCCGTCCCATCCCAGGAGGACCACAGTCTCCCTACTCAAACCTTCTCCTTACTCATCCCCTAATTGGCCCCAAACCAAGCTCAGCTCTAGGCACTTAGTGAGAATACCTAAATATGTTTTCAAATAAGTGAACAACACTGAAGAGGAGATGGTTGAAACCCAGTTTATTAGACCAGAGGCATGCGTCACCCAAAGCCCTGCCTGCTGTTCCCCTATCAAATGCACACTTTTTGGCCTCATTCCTGCTTCCCTCTGGGGAGGTGTGATCTCTGAGGAACTCCCAGGAACCAAGAGATTCCAAAGATCCTATAGCCTTACTCTCCAGCTCCAGGCCAATGCACAGGTGACCTGCTCACAGGTCCTGTTCTGGGATTGAAGACCAAGACACAGCTGGGGAAGGAAGGCCTGGAGAGGGGTTGGGGCTTAGGCCTGGAAGGAGTGTCTGGTGGAGGGAGGGGGCAGGCCCTCCACCTCACTTGTCTCTCATTAAGATAGGGAGGGACAACAGCAGAGCTTTCAACTCCTCCTCTAGGCCTCTCTTTCCTACCAAACCCACCTCACCAGAAAATAAAAGTGGTGGGCTTGTGTATCAGGTGAGGAAAGGGGGCTGGGCACCCAGAAGGAGGAAAGGCCACTGACTGAGGACCTCAGCTTCTGCCTGTTAGCATCCCACTGCCCCAGCTTTAGGAGTCACCAATCCCCAGCTCCCTTCTGTCTCTGACACACTTGGCTTAGTGTCCAGGGAAGACCTCCATCCCCTGGGTGGGGGCTATCTCTACAACAACCCCTTCCCTGGGGATGCTACTGTCAGCTGGGCAAAGGGCAATGGGATAGGAGGAGCAGGGGAAGAGAATGTTAAGGCTGCAGGGAGGGTCGAGGGTGCCCGGGTTGGGGGAGAGGGTGAGGCCAGAAAGAGGCAGAGCTTGTGATTCACAGCTTCCTTTGTCGCCACTGAGACAGTGCAAAGGTTACAATGCGCGTGTCGTCTCCTTGTGCTTCTCAGAGGGATGTGTGTACACAGTACAGACACCAGGGGAGAGAGTCCAACTCTTTATACAGGCGAAGGCATTCAGAGACCAGGGAGGGGGCAGAAACATAGAAGGTGGAACTTGGGGTGGGAGAATGATTCTCAGAGACAAGAGGGGATGGGGTGGAGACAGACAGGGCTGGGGAAAGTATATACAGAGATATAGCAATATAGAGTCTGTATCATATAGAAATAGAAAGTGCAGATGAGGTTGTTGAGGGAAGCAAATGAAGTTGGAGAAGAGGATGTGGGAGAGTTCCATAAGAAAATTTATGGACGTGGCCCTCTACAAGGGCCTCCGGGAGAGGGACTAGTGAGGTTAGGCACCAGTGCCCTTCTCCCTGAGCTGGATGTTAACCAGCCAGGTCTTTTGTGGGATGGTGAGGGAGGGCTGCCTCTTGGGATTTCTCTCCAGCAGCTGTGGGGTGGGGGTGAACTTATAGGTATCAGGATGTCGCCTACAGCACCAGGGCCGCATCTTGACCCCATTACCACTTCTTAAGGGGATCCCCGAACCCCACGAGATTCCACATGGTGTGAAAGAGTGGGACAGAGGTTTTAGTTCCTGCCAGGAGACTTGGGTTTGGGGACAGTCACTGGGCTGAGAGGGTCTCTTAAGGCTGGGGAAGCCTCCCTCCCCCACACTAGCCCTCCCCCTTAAGGTACATTCTCTGGTTTGGGGCCAAATTCCAGACCCCAGGGATCCCTTCCACCCCTCACTGGGAAGGGCCTTTGGTGACTGGTGGCAGCAGAATGTAGGTGGACACTCAGATGACAGCTAGACAAGACAGAATTCAGGCTGGGAGCTAGGGGAGGCAGCATGGAGAGAGGGGCAGCCTGAGGTCTCTTGCCCCGTTCTCCCTTTTTAGTTCTTTCTTAGATTAGTTTTGTTAAACGTAAAAAGAATGGGATAGAGGCAGGGAGAGGACTCTATGGTCAAGACTCCTTCCTTACCACAGACAAGAGGAAAGATCTGCCCCGGAGTGTGGGGAGTCCCCAGGGCAGATGTGAGGAGGCAGCTGGGGGCCCCCTCGCTCTCCTAGTCCTCCCCATCTAGGCCTTTGGTTCAGCGGCCTGCGGGGCTCAGCAGGTAAAGTCCTCGAACGTGCCTCGGGCCGGATGGTGAGGTAGGATGTTGGCAGCGTATGTCATCCCGGCAGGGTGGCCCCGGAGGCTCTCGCACGGGTTCTAGGGGAAGGGCACAGGACAGGGATGGGTTATCCCTCGGAAGGGCTTCCGGTAGTGCTGGGGCATTCAGGAGACAAAGGAGAGAAGGTGGTGGCAGAGGCGGGTGGGCGGGGGTTGACAGGGGTTCCTGGGGTGGTGGAGGCAGGGGCGGGCTGGAGGGCGCCCTCGCTCGCTCCCTCACGTGTCTTTTGACGTCGTCCAGGCTGAGGGCCACGCCCTTGTCCGCACTGCTCCTTTTGGCCTCCTTCTGGCACTTTCCTCGTCGGCACAGCTTGTGCTTAATGACCTAGGACCGGGACGGGGCAGGTGGGCGGGCTGGACCCCGCCCCTACGTGGCCCTGCGCCGGGCCCCGCCCCCGCTTACCTCGTAGGCGTAGTCAAAGAGCTCCAGCACCGTGAGGATGCTGGCGCCGATGAACAGCCCCATCTGGCCCCCGATGTCACCTGCGGGGGCAGGGGCCAGGGGCGTCAGTGGGGTCAGGACACCGTGGGGGCAGCAGGGTTTACTGGGACTGGGGCAGGCAAGTTGTATTCTCAAAGAGATTGGCAGCCTTCGCACAGAAGGATCGCAAAGCCAGATTCGGGTGGAAGTTTTATTTTCTTCTCTATGCTTTTCTGCGCTTTTCTACCTTTCTAAAACGAGCAGGTGCTTTTCAAGAAAAATAATCGTTTACAAAATACCACAAAACTCTTAATTTCTGGGCCGATTTTAGGAGCGTATAAAATAGTCTCCACTTCCATGCCTACCCCTCCCTCATGACCACAGGCCTGTCTTTTCTCTTTTCCACTTTGCCCTAAGAGAAGGCTCAGTTCCCTTCCCTCACCACTTACCAAGACAACAGGGTTTGGGGAAGGGCCTCTGGGGTGGAGGACCCTCATGGGACAGAAGTGAGCACCCTGCTTTTGGATGATAGGGAGCCATGCCATGCCCATGGCATGGGAAGGGGACAGGTGCCATCAGCAGCTCACCCAGGAGCCCTGCAATCTCATAGGCCTTCTTCTGTTCAATGGTCTCATAGTTGAGGACTTCAAAGAAAATGTCCAGCACCAGGATGTTCTCCCTGCACAGGGGTTGGGGGAGGAGACCTAGGTTCAAGTCATATCTCTGTCTCTTACTAACCAGGTGACCTTAGCAAGGCAGCCTCTCTGAATCTGTTTCCATATCCATAAAATGAGACGCTGATGGAGATACCTGCCTTTTAGGATTAAATGAGACGGCATATAGGGAGAAATGTTCTGTACCATATGCAGTATGTATTAAGTATAAAGTGACTACTGTTACAACATGAGGATGAAGAGGGAAGAGAAAGGGGTGCTTTCCTGCTTATTCTGGCTTGATCTTCCCTGCATACCCACCCTAGACTCTTTGCTTGCCTTTTGGACCTTCCCCGTGTTATCTCAACTTCCCCCTGCCTGCCAGCCCCCGCCCCCATCAAATCCCACTCATCCATTCCACAGTCCCAACCCAAGGGCCTTGCTGTACCCAGTCAGAGCCCTTACCCTATGTATTGCTCAGATTTGTTGAACTTCTTGGCCAGGTACTTGGCTGAGGCTTTGCTGGGGATCTTGACCATGGACAGCTCCTTGCCATAGCGGGTCAGGTTGCAAGGCATTTCACACACGCAGTACTCCTGGTCCTTCTCCACCAGGAAGTCTGCACTCAGCCAGGTGAGAGGTCCCAGTTGAGTGGTGCCCTTCTGCCAGCACCTTCCCACATGCACATCCTAGCTCTGCCCAGAGAAACCCTGGGCCCCTTTCTTTTTCCATGACCTGCCTGGATGCCAAACTCTGCCAACATCCTACCTCACCATCCAGCCTGAGGCATGTTTGAGGACTTTACCTGCTGAACCCTGCAGGCCACTGAACCAACGATGTAGATGGAGAGAACTAGAAGAGTGAGGAGAACCCCAGCTGCCCCCTCACAGCTGTGTCCACCTTGAGCTAATTCTCACCAAGCCTCACCATGGATATTTCTTACTCTTATATCTCACTTCCTCAGGACCCTCTAGGGTCAACCAGCTGAGGGGCTGATGAAAGAAGATGAAGGTCATTCCCAGGTGACCTCTGTTCATTTTTCATAGGGTCCTCTGAAGATGCTTTTCTCAACTTTATTTATTATTATTATTATTATTTTTGAGGCGGAGTCTCGCTGTCGCCCAGGCTGGAGTGCAGTGGCGCAATCTCCACTCACTGCAAGCTCCGCCTCCCAGGTTCACGCCATTCTCCTGCCTCAGCCTCCTGAATAGCTGGGACTACAGGCGCCTGCCACCATGCTCGGCTAATTTTTTTGTATTTTTAGTAGAGACGGGGTTTCACCGTGTTAGCCAGGATGGTCTCGATCTCCTGACCTCGTGATCCACCCACCTCGGCTCCCAAAGTGCTGGGATTACAAGCGTGAGCCACCGCGCCTGGCCGATTATTATTATTATTAATTTGAGACAGGGTCTTGCTCTGTCACCCAGGCTGGAGTGCAGTGGTACAATCTTGGCTCACTGCAACCTCATCTCCCAGGTTCAAGCAATTCTCCCACCTCAGCCTCCGGAGTAGCTGGGACTAGAGGCACATGCCACCATGCCCACATAATTTTTGTTTTGTATTTTTCATAGAGTCAGGGTTTCACCATGTTACCCAGGCTGGTCTCGAACTCCTGGGCTCAAGCGATTTGCCCACCTCGGCCTCCCAAAGTGCTGGGATTACAGGTGTGAGCCACCATGCCTGACCATTCTCAGCTTTAGTATCAGACACAAGAGAGGGTGCAGCCCAGTCCAGGAGTTATGTGAGACTTCTGGGAGCTTGACCTGAAACTCCTGTGCACATGGCTGGCAGCACCTTTTCCCTCCCCCAGACTGCCCCAGGCCAGGGGCGCTCACCCAGAGCAGGATCTGCACACTCCTTGTACTGCTCTGGAGTACAGTATGGGGCATCCCCTACAGAGGAGAAAAGACAATGATGCAGGATGGGGATTCAAGGGGTCTGGTGATGGTGGTATTACCAAAGGCCTAGAAGGTGTAAGCTGGGAGAGGATGGGAGGGGAGGACTGGTGGGCCCCCACGCTGCCCCAGAAGTGACTCACTCCCAGTCTATACCTTCTAGACCCTTCCCACCCATCCCTAGAGGTGCAGGCAGGAACTGAGGTCAGAGAGACAAGAGCCAGATGGGTGTGGGATGGGGTGGGCTGGAACTGGGGTTGGGAGATTGATACGGATGGGGAGCTAGTGAGGGGCAGTAAAGGCCCAGGGACCCCAGGAGTATGCTTGGAGCCCTGGGCCTGACCTGGCATGTGCACCATGCGGCAGTTGCAGTTCTCCACCAGGTAGCGCGTCTCACAGTCGATGCGGCAGGCGGTGATGCTGTAGGAGTCGAAGAAATCCAAATCCGAGTCCATGGTAACAGCTTTGCAGGTGCCCCAGGGCGGGGGCAGGTAGATGAGCTGCTGGGAAAGCCGGGGAGCTGGGGGAGTGCAGGGACTTCTCCCCAAATCAGCTTGATGGACTCCTCTGACAAGATGCAGATCTCTGGAGTTCTGCCCCCCTCTCTCTCTGTAGCCTCTGAAGGTCTCAGAGTTTACAGAGCATTCTTGTCCATTCGATCACTCATGCTTCGGACTAGCCAGACTACCACCCAGGTCCTCACTCACCTGTCCTTCCCATGCTTGATTGCCCACCACTCCATCTGGCCCCTCAACACCCCACCCCAGGACCAGCCTCCCATGGCCCTCTCACCCGCTGCTCCTGGCAGGCCACAAAGGTCTGGAAGCCTGGGGCCACGCCAAAGCCCAGCTGGTCGATGAAAGGAGGTTCATCCTGACTATGGATCTGCACTTTGATGCCTGCTTCGAAGGACGTCTCGTCTAGGGGAATGAGGGGTGTGTGAGTTGGGAGGACTCCTGACTCCCTAACCCCCCTCAGACCTGGGGGCATCCTACCTCTCCTGGGAATAAGCATAGCATACACTGGGACTGGGGTGGGGGAAGTCTATAGGGTCCTAGCCCATCCCCCAGCCTCCTTCTGGGTTTACCAGCTCTGAGCTGCTCTGACGACCCCTGCATCCTATACACCTCTTTTCTTACCTGGCTTCTGCGCTGCATCTTGGTGTTTCAAATACTTTCTCCCAGAGTGTCACTGTTTCAGATGCTCTCCATTTCTCCCCCTCCCTTTCTCCCTTTTCCCCCATCTCTCTCTGCCCCAAGGCCCCCCGAGACCAGACAGGCAGGCAGCCTGAGAAGAGAGGGAGTTATTTATAGAGTGGTGGTGGCGCTGATGGAAAAGGAGGGCTGGTTACCTTGGAGAGTAACTGAGCCAGGAAGGGGGAGCCAGAGAGATGTGAGTGTGGAAGTCAGGTAGAGTCAGCAATGGAGATGGTGAGATGCTGGGGGGAGAGGGGAAAGCCCGGGCCCTGCCCGGGTCTCACAGAGAAGCCCAGGAATCCCCTGGCAGAGGCTGGGGCCTAGAGCCATGCAGAGGGGCCCCTGAAGCGGGTGACATACCAGTCTCCCCCCACACAGGCAGGTACTCGTCCTGCTGGATGTCCAGCATGATTTCCAGCCCATTGCCTGTCCCACCCTTCATGGTCTTCAGCCGCGGCCGCCCATCTCGGCCTGAGTTGAACGTGTAGCACTTTCCATAGCGTGTGAAGACCTGGCGGGGGCAGAGTGGAGAGCCTGAGTCCTGCCAGCACCCTCTACTCACCAAGGGCTGTTCCTAGTCACCCCAGCTGTTGGAATCTCAACACCCTTTGGGAGCAGTTCCTCCTGTGCAGCCTGTTCTCCATTTGCTCCCCTCTCCCACCTGTTTCCCGCCCTTCCTTGCCCTCTGTGTGCCCTGGAAAACTGTTCCTGGTAGGGTGCATAGCCTGAGCTCCTTTGCCACCTGCATGGGCTTCTAGTTGGGTTTCACAGTTGGGAGGTATTGGTAATGGATCAGAAGGCAGGAGGAAAGATTGGGGTATGAATCCTTCTCCAGCCCTCGCCCCTCTGTAGCTCTAGTAGTGGCTTACGCTCTCCATGATTACAAATTCGGTCAGGGCTCCCTATACAGCACTGTCTTCTTTTGTGCTTCTTCGGCCTAGAAGTGATAACGATTTCATAGTACTGCTCGCTGCCTCAGCCCCTCTCACTGGTTTTCTTAACCCTGCCCACAGATCTGTCAGCAGTCCCTTTGTTAAAGTCTTCAACTAAATCATCAGGTAGCTGTCTTTTTCCTGCCAGGAACCTGACATATGCATTTTCATCACCAGGATCCCAACATAGCCAGATCCCTGGCCCCTCCTTGGGACCCTTTCCTCAGGCCCAAGCTCCTGAGGCCTCTGAGACATACCTTCTCTTCTCCTAGATTTCACTCTGGGAATCTGAAATTCTGCTTTCCCCAAGACCCAAACTTAGTTTTTTGTTGTTTTTTTTTTTCGGTTTGTTTGTTTTTTTTTTTTGAGATGGAGTCTTACTCTGTTGCCCAGGCTGGAGTGCAATGGTACAGTCTCGGCTCACTGCAACCTCCACCTCAGCCTCTCGAGTAGCTGGGATTATAAGCGCACAACATCACAGCTGGCTAATTTTTGTATTTTTAGTAGAGACGGGGTTTCACCATGTTAGCCAGGCTGGTCTCAAACTCCTGACCTCAGGTGATCCGCCTGCCTCAGCCTTCCAAAGTGTTGGGATTATAGGCGTGAGCCACCGTGCCCAGCCAAACTCAGTTTTTTGGTTTCCTTCAGCCCCTAGCCCCTTGGGTCTATCATTATTCTATTATCAGCAGAACCTGAAAGTAGACCCAGTTGCCATGCCAAGGACCACGCTCAACCAAGCACCAGCACCTCTTCTCCCAGCACTTGGGACTGAGCCCCCAGGGCATGGTGCGTGTGTTAATGCTTTTGCAAAACTAGGAGGGCCTCAGGAGGTATCTCCGCCCTGGGGGCTGTCTCCCCAGTCTTCTCCCCGCTCCATGCCCCAGTGCAGCCCTGGTCACAGTGCTGATTAAAAAGCTGCAAAGAGAAAAGTAAACCAGTTATTCTTGGCCTTTTCCCCACAGCCTCCTTGAATGTCCCCAAGTTGGGGTGGCCGTGCTTTTACTACTGCTGGATGGTGACAAAGTCCACAAAACAGGTCATAAGGTGAGTCAACACAGCCCAGAGCAGGGGACAGACAAAAGAGTTTCAGGCCAGACTGAAGCCGCGATGGCAGTAGGTTACTAGGGAATAGGGTCTTTGTCCCCTTCCCCCTTCCTAGAACAGCCTCCTCCATTGCCCTCCAGAAAAGGAAACATACTGCTCTCCCCACTTTGTGGGTGAGGTCTAGGGATGAGGCAAAGAGAGAACTCCAAGGGCTCCTAATCCCCAGCCCCACAACCAGGTCTTGCGGCACCCAGCCACAGGCTCCAGGCTGGACATACGCTCATGCCTACACTCCATCCAGAGCTGTATGGGATTAGAGGTGTCTGAGGCCAGCTAGCAGCCCTGCCTTGCGCTGGCTCAGAGGACTGGGCTGCTGTACAGTGGATTGCTGCTGCCACCTGGTGGGCCTGGGTGAGAAGTGTCTGCTCTACCCTCAGGCCCAGAGGAAGCCACGTTCCTATGGCTCCTGGCCTCCCTGAGGTCCAGTGGTCCAAACCCCCAGGCCCCTGTATGCCTGCAGTCATCCCATGATGCACTGGTATGATGACATCCCCTGCCCCTACACTAGGGAGGGGGTGGAGGACTGAGGGATGGGTGTGTGGGGCAGGGAAGGCCTGGTACCTGGGAGCTGGTGGAGCAGGAGAGCAGTCAGGCCAGACAGACCTGGAAGATGAACTTAGGAGAGACAGTGGGGTGCCAGGTGGCCCTCCAGCAGGGAAGACCCTAGACCCCTGGGTGGGGGGCCAAGCAGGAGGACAGTTCCCAGTGACAGCTTCCCCTAGGAAGAGGGTCGCTGGCCACTTAAAGTTGGGGAGAGGGATATGACTTAAAGACCTGTTATTTACCCTCAGACACACACACACACACACACACACACACACACACACACACACACAGAGCTGGTGGGGGTGGGGCACCCGTAGGAGGCACAGGAAGACCAAGCAAAGACGCATTGAAGTCCCTGCTGTGGGAGCTGCTGACAAGCAGCATGGTGAGGTGGGGGTGGTGGGGGATGTCCCCACCCCTTTACTGTCTCCCTCTCACTCCCTTCTCTTGTACCACCAGAAACCAGGCAGCACCCACCCCAGCTTCAGTCCACGGGTGCTAGTCAAAATAGTGAGCAACTGGCCAGGCATTGGTGTCCACCAACAGATCAAAGGTTGACCTCACAGATGGAGCAAGGTCCCAGGCCCTGCTGGACCATGAGGAGGTCTTGGGAAGGGCAGGTGAGACTGGAGGACATGTAGGGAGGAAACACCAACTAAGACAGATGTGTTTCAAGATTCTAACGGGAAAAGCAGTGCTGGTATGGACCTGGGAATATCAGCCTAGCTTCAGGCCCTGGACTCCTGGGTAAGCTCTGGCCTGGGTCAGCCAGGTGAGGAGGGGGCAGCACAGTCATCAGCCCCAGCCCCAGCCCCAACCCCAGGAGGTGACAGTCAGGGAGAGCCATGGCAGACACTCTTGGGGTACTGTGGCAGGCATGGGGCCCCACTCACCACTGAGAAGTTGTGAGGGCCACAGGGCCCCCCTTGGTAGGAGCAATAGAGCAGCATGTCCTCCAGCCGGTGGCAGGAGCGATTGTAGAAGCGGTGCAGGTTAAAGGGCTCCCCAGAGAAGGCCTCAGGGCCCGGTGGAGCAAGGGGCACCCCAGGGTCATCACTTTCATCCAGTCCCAGCATGGGGGCCAGATAAAGCAAGTCAGGGTAGCTGAGCTGGGACAGCCGCACAGCATTAGTGTTGCAGAGGGTGACCGCCGGGAAGGCCAGCTCCGTGGTGGCCACTTCGTTTAGCAGGGTCACGTGTGGGTAGCTGAGGTAATAAGCAACGCGGTCCCCTACCTGGCACAGGAAGGCACCCAGTGCCAGGACAAAGGCCACCGCCCACAGCGCCTGCCTTGGTCCTGGACCCCCCTCCACAAAAATGTGGTTGGTGCCGTGGAGGGTGCAGCTGTTGGCAAAAGCCACCAAGTCCATGGGTGAATGCCTCTTGCTGGTCTCCTTCCTCACTGCCTCCTTTTCCTTCTCTTCTTCCTTCTCTTCTGATTCTGAGATGTCCTGCTGCTGCTGATGGTGGTGGGGACCCCAAATATCTCCCAAGGGCCCTGGGGCCTCCTCTCCAGAGGAGAATGACACAGAGCAGAAGATCCGAATGGGCATTTTCTCCAGGGGCTTCCTGGTGCCAGGGATTGGCAGGAGGAAGGGGGAAGGTGCCAGAGGGGAAGGCGATGTGACCCCAGGCAGAGTCCGGCAGAGCTAGCCACCCAGCTTGTCAGTCAGGTATCCACAGCCTGGCTGGCTGTCCTTCCTCACCAGGGCCTCTGTGGCAGTGTGGCTGGGGCGGGGCATGGGAGGAGGACCAGCCTGCCCTGCCAGGGAGGGCGGGTGTCTGGGCTGATGAATAATTGATGGCAGTGGGAAAGGGAGGCTGATGGAGAGCAGGGGGCTGGAGCCCCTTTCCTGTCACCCGCTCCAGCGGCACAGAGAGGGTTTAGGACAGAGTGGAAACCCTGGAAAAGCCTAGGGCTGGGACTCCTGGAACCCACCCCTGCCGGTGAGGAGGGACCCGGCACCATCCTTTGCGCCCACTGCCATGATGATCGCAGTGACAACAGTCCCCACCCCCCAGGACACACATAACACATACTCATGCTCTCTGTCATCCTCCAGTCTGTTCCTCATCATGTCCCTCAGTGCCCGCATCCCAATTCTGGGTCCTCTCCCTTATTCTCCCTTCACCCAGTTATTCCTCTGGGATACCTCAACCCCTCCGTGCCCCACCACCAGGCACTCTCTCAGACCTCCAATTCCAGTCCCTGACCCTGTTTCTCTTCCCCTCCCTCCCTGGCCCCAGCTCTACTTCAGGACAGCATTACCAGCCCTAGTCCCACCCCCTATGCTGAGCTGTATTTTGGTTCCTTTCCTCTCCCCTACCCTCCTGTGGCTTGTGGGCCAGCCCAGGTTCCATTAGCAGCAGTCTCTCACTGACCACAGACTCATTTCTGACCAGTTCCCGGCACTAAGGGGAGGGACCCTGTCTCCTGCAGTGGGAAAGCTTCCTGGCAGATCACCACTACCCCTTTCAGCTTGCCCCCTGCACCCCTCAACAGTTTAGGAGTTCGAGGAATTCTCTGGTGGATGCAAGAAATTGAGATCAGTGCTGGGGGTGGGGCAGGGGGACCTGGGTCAGGTAGACAGTATTGGGAACCAACTTGGGGTTCCCGCCAAACCCTCAGCCTTGCAGACTCCTGGCCTCAGTCTCTGAGGCTCCCCTGCCCCTAATTTACCATTCCCTGCCCCCAGGCCCCTGGTCCCTCTGTGTGCTCTGATTACTCAGGGACACTGGTTGAGGAACTTGAGCCACCAGCCAAGTCTCCAGGGCCAAGAAGGTGACCTGAGGGGAGGAGGGGAAGGTTGGGGAGGGAGGTGTAGCAGATTAACTCTTTCTCTGCAGGGCCAGAGGAGGAGCAGTAGGGCTAGACTGGGGCTAGGTGGGTCTGCTTGGGCCCCCCCATTCCTTAAGCATCCCCTAGTCCCAGGCTGTGTTCCCCCTCCTCCTCCTCTCTTCTCCCTCCCTGCTCCCACCATCTTCCCTTCTCCATTTGCAGAGACCCTAGAGTGTGTTGGGGATGGGAGGCAGAGTGCCAGGTTCTAGCAGAACTGAGTGATGTGGAACTTTTGGCCTCAGCTTTGCTGCCAGGGACAAAGAGGCCCCAGAATCGTAGTCTTGACCTCTCGCCCCCTCCATCCTTCTGCCACTGCCCTCAGATTGGGCTAAA